AATGGCCAATGACCATGTTGCTACAAAAATAAATTATTATTGATGGCAACATGATAACCCCTTACCGGTAGTCTTTATGAGGGTTTACGATAGTCATTTCAATTCAAGTCGTTTTGATACAAGCGTGTTCAATCAAGTTGTCTGTAGTTTGAAGATTTGAAGAAATATTTTTAGATCCAGAGAGTGACAAGCTATTACAGAAAAGTTAAGCACCAGGGACTAATTTATTAAAACTTTTACAAGTGTGAAAAACGTAATTTACAAGTGTAGCTATTGTTTTAGAGTCTGAAGACAATAGCCACACTTGTAGATTACACTCGTAAAAGTTTTATTAAATTGACCTCAGAAATAATAACTTCTGAGTCATCTGTTAAGTTCATGTATATGTCACAAAGAAATTTCCACTGTGGGATTAAAAGATAATGAGACAGATACAAGTCTCTGTTTTTGCATGTGCTCCTGGAATTATAACAGAAAACATGGATCAGTACAGTGGTCTTGAGTAATTTGTTTAGTAGCCTGTGAATGCAGATGTATTTCCGGTCACCGCTTTAATTTGTGCCACCAGAAAAGTACCGTTCGGGTGGAGAGGAGCAACGATCGGAAATACATCTGCATTTGCAGGCTATATGTCTTGAATAGATGTGTCTAGGAATTCATACCCACAGATCCAAATGCCATAGCTGAACATTGTGATACGATATAACTCACTTAAAGTGAGTGATATACAGGTACTTGTACATTGAATAAATAGAGGATATTACACGGTGGCGCAAAGATATGAATTTTATTTTCGAGTGGCAAAACAATATTTTACGAGTGAGCGCAGCGAGTGAGTAAATATTGTTTTTGCCACGAGAAAATAAAATTCATATCTTCAAGCCGCCGTGTAATGTTCTTTTTATTATATAGACAAAAAGACATCGATAAAATAATAGATTTTTATTCGCCAAAAAGTAATTGTGACGGCTAAAATTTACAGTACAGCAATATAAGACATTGTTTACAATAATCTTGAGAAATAACACTGAGCTGAATAAAGCTTCACAATGACAAAATATAAGCAAAGCTTTGAAAAATGTGTAATTAAAATTCAAAGGACGCAAGATGCGTACAAATTTTGGAGGGAAATTACCGAAATTACGTCATCGATAAACTCACGTGTGAGATTATGGAAAATAAACCACTCGGGTCCCGGATGTAGTTTTTACGAATTTTACGAGTGGTATATTTTCCAGTAAAACACTCGTGTCTTTATAATAATAATAATTATTGTCTATCTATGCAGAAGGAAATGATTTTTTTATTTCTCATTACAGATAGCTCCTGGGTCCCTTGGAGGACACGGGTCTCCTATGTCTCCATCCAAGAGGGCATTCACATCATCATTAGCCCCAGGAGGGCCAGTCTCACCCCTTCATTCTCCTAAACCATCTCTTGGTTCACCCAAACCACAGCACAACCCACTAACATCACAAGCATTTGAATTTCTGCCTTCTGCTGCTGTGAGTACAGTTTAATTTGTGGAGTTTGTGATCCTGTTCAGTTTTCATTAAATTTTCTTGTAGCTCTGTTTGTTATATGAACCCATTTTGCTGGATCTTCCTATTCCACTATCAGCAGCTGCTTGTTACTGAAAAGTAATGTATTTCAACCACTCATCAATGATATTCATATAACTGTTGAGACTGCAAAGTCTATCGAAAGGCTGTAATTCTGAGGGTGTGCATAAATAGTTAAAAAATTCTTATTAATATTAATTAACTAATATTATAATATTATTTCAAATGCTTGCTGTAACCTCAATGTGTTGTTTACCTGTATTTTACTTTAGAACCAGAGCCTGCCACAGGCCCCCCTCCATAGTCAAGCCCAGGCCCCAGGTCCTCAGCAGATGGAATCCATAGGTGGAACAACGTATTTTTACACTCAGCAAGCTCAACAGCAGCCTGCTGTGGTAACAATTCTTTATTCCTGTTTTAGAGTTA